CGGAGTGTGTGGTTTCCCCGATCTTCCACAGCAGAGTGACGATTTGACACGGGTCTCCCACTTCCTCGTTCAACACTCTCTGTTCACTACCCATTGGTTGAGGCTGTGCCTTTGCACACAGGAGATCCCAAGTTCAGTCCCTGGCATTTCCAGTGACTAGGATCTAGGCAAAGAGGGTCTGGCCCTTGGAGAGCTCCTGCCAGTCAGAGTAAAAAGGTAAAGGTTCCCTTGCTCGAAAGCCAGTCGAATCCGACTCTAGGGTTGCGGTGCTAATCTCCGTTTCAAAGCCAAAGAGCCAGCGCTGTCCGAAGACGTTTCTGTGGTCATGTGGCCAGCATCTAGGTGATCCCAAACAAATAAGGAGGGTGACTCCTCTGAGGTCATAAGAGGGAGGGAAAAGGACACACCAGCCTCTGTCCCTGCCAAAGAACACGCAGAACAGCTGCATCACCTCCATTCATACAAAACCATCAAGGGCGAAAGATCAGCCCAGCCCCAATGGGATAGAAATCCTGGCAACCCCCTTTCTCTCCTTTTTCCTTCTATTCCCCTTTCCCTGGCACATTTGGCATATCTCCTCAAAGAGTTCATTCACTTGGCTAGCCAACATCTGTCTTATCACATGTGTATCCCATGCTCTCTTGCTGGGGAGCCTCGGAGCAGAGGCCTGCCTTTCTCAGTTGAAAAGTGGGATAAATACGATAATGAGTTAACATGCTGGGTCGTCCCATGGAGAAAAATCTAATGGACTTTACGGAACCTGGTTACAGCAGCAGAGATTCAATTATTCTTGTAGACCTCTTGTAGACCTGTGCTTTTTATTGGTTTTAAATTGTTTTAATTATGTGATTATATGAATTGGAGCTGCGGTGGCTCAAGTGGATAGGACGCTGAACTGCAGGCTGTGGAAGGTCAGTAGTTCAGCTGTTCGAGACCCAAGTGCCGCATGACGGAGTGAGCTTCCATCTCTAGTTCCAGCTCCTGCCAACCTAGCAGTTCGAAAGCAAGAAATTACAAGTAGATAAATAGGTACCACTTCGGTGGGAAGGTAACAGCATTCTGTGCGCCTTGGTGTTTAGTCATGCTGGCCACATGACCATGGAAACGTCTTCGGACAGCGCTGGCTCTTCGGCTTTGAAACGGAGATGAGCACTGCAACCCTAGAGTCGGATTCGACTGGCTTTCGAGCAAGGGAAGCCTTTACCTTTTTTACACCGCCCTGAGCTCCGCCAGGCAAGGGAGAGCAGGTTTTTTAAAAAAATTAATAAATAAATTAGTTCGCTGTGGGGGGGAACTCTGGACTTTCCTCAATACGAGAGGGCCCCTCTTGACAAGACTCCACTGCACCTTTCAAGAACAATCTGATTTAGAGTCAATCATTTCCCATCCACCTGCCTGTTGGTATCAGGTATCAGAATCCTCAATGCGCAACACACCTTAGGGCTTGCTTCTGAGTCAGTCTTGGCAGCTACAACAACATCCCCCCCCCCGCACCAATCATTTCCTTCATGGCAAGGACGTGCAAGAAAGAGAATCTACAGGTTGACATGAGAACATTGCAATCGACAGCAGGTCAAAGGGACCCTTCCTCTGGCAATGCACACAGTTTATCAAAGAAAAGAGAAAAAGCCAAGAATGAGGGACAAGTTCAGGAGAAATGTAGGCTCTGGGGATTAGGAAAAGGAGTCGCTCGAACGAATGCAAGGAACAGGCTTTTAAAAAATGGTCAAAGCCAGTTACCACTTCAGCTCCCATAACAGAAGGCATAGGAGAAAACAAGAAGACTTTCATTACAGTTGCGAGACCACAAATAGCACAGCCAATTTCATTTTTATATCTGCAGATGGGTCGTTCATTTTTAAGAATTCAACATTTAGGTCCATCGTCAGTGCTTCGCCACGGCTAGAAATACATTCTCACTCCCACAGTCTTTCAGTAGAGATGAGAAACATTTAGCCTATTAGCCTGACACAGCTCTTTCAACAAATCTGGGCACTGCCAGCCTCTTGCAGATCCCAGATTTTACATAAAAGCATACGTGGGATGGAAGATTCTAGTCCTCGTTGTTTCACAGGACTTGAGCCCCCACACCAAGTCCTGAATGCGAGGGGTGCCAAGAGCGGATTCTGCGTGTACACCATCACCCAGGTCCTTGTTGAGAGGGTACACAGGAACTTCTTAAGCACAACAGGCCTGAGCAGGTCATGTGATACACCCTGACTCTTTTAAAAGCTTCCAGGTGAAGTCTGCTTACTGAACTGTATGGAAGATTCTAGTCATTGTTTAACAGGACTTGAGCCCCCACACCAAGTCCTGAATGCGAGGGGTGCCAAGAGCGGATTCTGCGTGTACACCATCACCCAGGTCCTTGTTGAGAGGGTACACAGGAACTTCTTAAGCACAACAGGCCTGAGCAGGTCATGTGATACACCCTGACTCTTTTAAAAGCTTCCAGGTGAAGTCTGCTTACTGAACTGTAAGGAAAGTGACTCTAGTTTCCCTGCAATGGACATCTCTTCTCTTAAGTGAGTTTGGGACAATGTTGTAGAAAATAAATGGAGGACTGTGAAAACCAAATGGCCCAAATACAATCTAATTTAGTAGTAGTCCTTTACCGTCCCTGCTTTCCCAAATTATTCATAATTGCTTAAAAAAAAAGCCCTGTTAGAACCAACAAGTGGAACTTATTTTTTTTTCCCCTCCACAATACTAGACCTCTAATCTTTATCCATATAGAACCAGGAATTGCTAATTGTATTTCATACAGATGCCACATTTTGAGCCACGGCATTTTCTTGCATCAGAGTCTAACGTTGCTCCAGAATCACATTTGGGTGCTGTACTTAAACGTGGATTAGGTTGAACACTCTTCTCAGAAGCCTTCACTGGAAGACTGTGCAGGGAGGAGAAGGAGCAGATGAAGAACTCTTCCTCTTACGCCCTCTTTTATACCTGCAATCAGCAGGATAAGCAATCCAAAGGCACACAAATAGGGCTGTATTTCCCCCTTTGTCATACTTCTAAGGGGAGACCACACTTCTCAAATTGCCATGTGACTTTCTAAAGTGCTGGTCTTCAAAATTCTTAGGGATCTCATCCCTCCCTCCTCTAAAGATCAGTCAAGGAACCCTTACACAAGAAACAGGAAATGTTACAGAGGCCTACATGGAGGTCGAGGAACACTCTGTTTGCAAGAGTGAGCAACAGCTTGTTGATTCTCATTGTTGCAAAGCTGACTGCATTTTCTGTGTTGCACCCAATGCTCACCCTGTCGTGCAGGCCAAGAACTCTTTGGAAGGAAGGCGGGGATAAAAATGTGAGAGACCAAAGGAATGTATACCAGGCTTTCAAGGGGCCTCACAGGCCTTGGGACCACAAGTGGAAAACCACTGGTGCAAAGCAACCAGGCCTCAAATACACTCCTCTCTCCCAATTGCACAAGACGTCACTTGGATTACCCAAATGCCCACATGCAGCTATCAGTCCCCTGGCCTCTCACTTTCAACAAGCCATGCCAGGGAAGCGTGATCAGTTCTGCAGTTGCACAAATAGATGCAAGCAACCCAAGGCCAGAAGGATCTGGCACAAAACGGGGCAACCCCTCAGTTGAGTGGGACAAGTCCCACGGGGTTGTGGTACCATAAATTGGACAGCTATTCCAAGCCACCACAGCGGAATTACTCTTAGCCAAGTTGGCATTTTAGGTAACAAGCAGCCAGGATTCTTCTGAAGCTGTTGTATTTAGGGGGGAGGGGGAGCTTCTTGCCCATTAAGGGTGAAACCAGACGTAACATTTAATGTGTCATGTGAACACTTATGCTTTGCTTCAGGTCTGTTTTTTTTATATTTCTAGCTGGTTCTACAACCCAAATCCTATTTTATTGTCCACTGACTATCCCGTCACTCTGAGTAATCCACCATGAGTCGCAGTGAGAAAGGCGGGCTATAAAAACTGTAAATAAATCAATAAATAAAACAATCCTGGGGTAGCAGAAACCATCACATTACCCCCGAAGAAAAACATAGGGAAAGTCAGTCTTCTGCAGCGTCTAGAACGACACCCGGTGCGCCAAGAGCATTTTTAAACAGAACAGCGTCCTGCGAGGGAGCAGGCAGTTCCTCCGAACCCGGGAGTTCCGTTGTGCGCCAGATAAAGCGACGCATATTTTGGGTCAAAGTTCAAGGCAGCAACCGCGCAACGGGAAGCTTGCTCTTTGGACAGCTCGAAGGAGGTGGGAGCGCAAACTAAGCCCGCGGGCAGTGTTCCCTCTAAGCTGAGTTAGTGTGAGCTAGCTCACAGTTTTTTAGCCTCTGGCTCAGACATTTTTATCTTAGCTCAGGAAGCAGGGCTCCAAAGCAAACTAATTTCTGCAGCAGCAGCCAAATGGCTCGCTCACAACTTTAATGCCAGTCGCTCAGAAAGTAGAATTTTTGCTCATGAGACTCCACGGCTTAGAGGGAACATTGCCCGCGGGACCAGAGACTTGGGTCGCTCACAAGGAAGCCAAACAACTAAAGCTTTGCAACCCCGCAGCTGATTCCAGCGCGCCAACCAGCTCTCTCCCCAGCAAAGAGCCGCACATGCCCGGCGAAGGCGGGGGTGCAGCTGGCGGGCGGCTTGTTGTTTGAGCGACTACCGGTTGCGAACAGGCACGGAAACGTCTCCCGGCGCACAGCGAGTCTAATAAAGGCGCACAGCCCGGGTCCCTTCTGTCCGCCCAGACTTGCAAAACAGGATCACAAACCCCACCCCGACTTGTAGCGCGATCTGTCGACAACCAAAATGTGGATCTGGAAGAAGTTACAAACTTTGCTAGGGAAAAAGGGGCGGCTGGAGGGAAGGGAGCAAGAGGATGAACCCGGCCCATTCAAATAGTGTGTACAACACAGACCCCCTCCTTGGCACGCAGAACGCCGAGCCACAGCAGCCAACCGAAACCACATCCCCCCCTCCCTCCCTCCCCACCCAGTTCAACCAAATGATCCATCGTAGAATTTACCTGCCAGGATCGCTTTGCCCGGATGGGTCAGTTTCGCTTTGCCGGCTGGAGCGGCGGCGGCGAGGCAGCGAGGTCTGGGGAAAGGGTTAACGAAAGGAGTCGAGGCTGAAGACATAGTTGCAAAGAAAGAGCCGCGCAGAGAGAGGGACGCGGCTGCGAGTCAGACCCGGCAGCGGAGCGCTTCGTGCAAACGACCAGCGTGCTTCCTCCAGCCCCTGCTCCAGAGAGCCGAGAAGGAACGGAGATCCGTCTCCCAGCCCCGCCTCAACACCGAGCCCGCCTGCTGCTGAGCGCCCAGCCTGGCGGCGGAGTATATCCCAGCGCTCCGGACACCGCCCCCTTCTTCCCCCAGCGGGGGTGTGGCGGGAGCTGCCGCCGCTAGCGTCACATCCTTGTAATTGACATGCGTTTCGAAGGAGGAGCGAACGTGCCGGAGAAAGGGGGAGGCGTTGCGCTCTTACAAACGGCGGGGCTTTCCCCGTGAACTTCGGTGAGTGCGGGGAGCTCGGTCTCTCTCTCTCCCCGGGTTACCCGCTGGGGGGGGGGGGGGGGGGGGGGGATAAGTGCCTGCCTGTGCCGTTTCAGGTAGGAGTGGAACTGGGTTCCCCTGCACGCTGCATTTGTTTACAAGACAGAGTCAGTGACGCTGAACTTTAAAGGAGGAGGGGGGGGGGGGTTGGATTTACGGTTTCCTCTATCGTGACTGTGTAGGAACCAACCGGTACTTGTAGAGGATGAAAGGAAAACACGCCGCACAAGCTCAGAGGCACTCTCTTTATTGTTTCACAAGTCTCAAAACTACTTCCGGTAATGAAGGAAATGTTTTAGGACCTGAATCCGGTTTAACCCCATGGCACGTTTTAGACCCTAGACGCTACTCCGCAGTAAGGCAGGTGAGCGTGATGAGCTTTTAAAAAGATTAGGAGGAAATGGGAAGCCCAAAGCACCACTGAGGACGATATATTTTGAACATCACCCTCTACTCCTGTACTCAGGTTTGATCATGGTGTGTGTGTGTGTGTGTTCCTATTAATTTTTCTCTCTCAACCAACTTGAATATCTGCTTCCCATCTAGGAACTGTACATTTTGCCAGGATTGTAGGACAGATCCCTCCCTCTGAGAAGTTAGAATGTTTGTGAAGATTCCCAGAGCTACAGCCTGACTGCTTTGTATTCTTGTACATTGTATACTATTTGTGTTGTGTATTCTTGTTTCAGAGCAGGCCTCCCTCCTATAAGGAGCACAATGTGTGGGGAATATAGCACCAAATGAAGATTTTATTCCCAAATATTCCCATTCAGAAAAGCTCCTTCACATTTTAAGGAAAATGCCAGTTCTAGGGAAACTAGCATTGCCAACTCTTTTGCTGTGTTTGTTTAAATTATAGGGGGTAGTTTTTATGTAAAATATTTGTATTTCACCTTTCCACAGTGCCCAAGGCAGCTAGGGAAAAGTCACACTCTTATTGGAAATGCTTTGAAATGTTATAATCAACCTCCTGCCAGCAGTGAGTAAAACAGCACCCAGGCCCGGAAATCTTAGCTAGAAGACCTCCTTATTCTTTTACTTGATCTAGAAAGGATCCTGCAATCAATTTTTTGGATTGTATCCAAACTGCAAGACCAAAAAGTTGCAAGGACAAGGCCACAGATCTGAGATACCTTCAAAACAGAGAAAGTATGTAGATAACCCCTCTGATCCAGAACTAAAAATCACATAATATATGTATTTTTACAGTCAATGTTACTTATTACAGGAATTTTTCTTCTTCTGGATGCTCAGCAGGCTGATAAATATTTTAAACAAATAAATAGAGTTCCCTGAAACATCCAGGCACCAGGCAAGATTTATTTCTCCAGCCCTGCTTCAGAAAGTTTCAAATAATGGCACAATCATTCCTTTTTCCTGCTCAGATTGTCTCCCAAGGGGCAGATAGATGTCTGCCCTGGCCATTATTCGCAATGAATGCAAAGGGGGAAAAACAGGAGGGGGGATTGCACTTTGCACAAAAAAAGAGTTATTTTCAGTTGAACAGAAATTTGGAAATGCCAAAAAAAGTGCACCTCTTAATCTCCATGACTTTGCAATTTATAGGAAAACTACAACTGGTTACATGATAATTGTGTTGAAGCAGCTCAGTCTACTGCCCCTCCTTTAACAAAAAACCCCAATCCTATGAGGTAGGTTACGCTGAGGGATAGTTACTGGCCCAAGGATTGGCCAGTAAGTTGTGTGGCTGAACAGGAACTGGAACCCAGTTTTGACACTATAGCCACAACACCAAATAGACTCTCACCGGGCACAAGGGTTTGTGTATTTCTGTAGGATATTTCTAGGGGGGGGGGGTGGTTAGTTGTTTTTTTCAAAAGGCAGCCACTGGGGCTGTGAGATGAAGTGGCCCTGGCATAAGGGGATGGACGAGAGACTGTTTAATCCTACCATTTCTCTACTAAAAACTGCTGCTGCCTTTTCCTGCTGTTCACCTGGCCAATCAGGAAAAGGCGGGAGTGTATAGAAATATTGATTTCTTCAAGTCTCATGCCTTCTCCTGTGATGACCAGGGCTATTTTTGGGCTGGGACTCACAGGAACGGAGTTCCGGCTGGCTCCTGAGTTGGCCACACCCAGCAGGAACTCATTAGCATAATAGGCCACACCCAACAGCAGAAACTCATTAGGATTGGCTACAGTAGGTGTGTGTGGCCTAACATGCAAAGGAGTCCCTGCTACAAAAAAAGGCCCTGGGTTTTGACAACAAACAAGGTAAACAGAATAAGAAGCAAAAGATGAGTGTGGCTGGATGACCATACTTCTGGCAACATGGGGCTGCGGCCTAATATGCTAATGAGCTGTGGTGTCAGGGTGTGGCCTGATATGCTGATTAGTTTCAGCTATTGGGTGTGGCCTATTATGCTAATTAGTTCCTGCTGGGCTTTTTCTACAAAAAAAGCCCTGGATGACATTCTATGTCTCTGTTTCCTGTGCAGGCCAAATGGTCCAGGGCAGACCAGATGGCCTGAACAACCTCAATAGCCATGCCATATAACCACACATTCTTTCACACCTCAAAGTGGAAGAGCTAGACTTCAAGGCGCCTGCTTTAAGGCTACATGGGCCATGTCACGTACATCATGGAGAAGCTGGAAGTACTTGGGTCACCTGACTGCAGCAGGAGTTCCCAAACTTCTAGCCTATCCCCACATGTAACCATGACAACCAACAATTGGGCACACCCATGCCCACTCGCAATTGGCTAATAGCCACAGCTAATTTGTGACTAGAAGTGGGGTATAATTGTTCAATCCCTATGGGAGAGAGCTTCTTGCTCTTGCTCGTGTGCTTGCTCTCTGCTCCTGCTGTCTCTACTTGTTTTATTGCACCTGAAATGCAGCCCTTGAGGGACAGGCTTTGTGAATTGGACCACATGGTCGAGCAAAGATGGATTTTGCCTTCAAAATCCCTTGGACTGCTGGATATTCCTGAACTTGGTAAATATGTATCTTTTACGGTGTAGTTAAGGCAAATCACCTTAGGCTTGTTTTTTTGGTAAACTCTGGTAGTCTGTGTTAAGCTCTGTACTGAATAAAAAATTATTCTTGTTTCTAAATGGTCTCTGATGTTGTACCTGAGTTCCAAGTCTAAACTCCTGTGCCTAAGCTACCATTAAGCGTAAAGTGTGCAGCTCTGAGTAGAGTTGTTAATGTGTTAAGTTCCAGATACCAACTGAGAGTTTGAACCTCTAATCTCCGGTTGGGGGGGAACTAATGTAGAGGTTCTGGTGGCATATTGTTCTGAAACCAGAGAGGGTTTAGACCATCTCGTGGGTTGTTGTTTAATGTACTGTAAAAGTACAGAATTACCTCTCATCCCTGACTGGTGTGAGGGGCTTAATCCTGTACAGGGAGGTCAGTCAAAAAGCAGGCTGGGGTGGAGAGCAGGGAGCTGTTCAGGTGGCAAGATGTCAACCCAGCAAAGGGGCAGAGCTCAGTTAAAAAGCACATGTAGGAAGCCAATAACTCCATCCCTTCCTAGAGAATGTTGCGATCTTCCTGCATGGAACACCCCCCCCCCCCCCCCCCCGCCTTCTCTTCTGTCTCTCCAGCCTTGTTCTGAGGGAGAACCTAGAGAGTGCTGGAGGTGGTCTTTTCCCACTGCCTCTTGAACAAGAACCTGTTATGTTGGAGAAGACATGGAGTCTTTGCCTAGAGGCTCTGGGGTGCAGAGAGCCTCAGGTATAGCAGGGATTGCAGAGAGCTCCTCAGCACCCAAGGAATCTTCCTATGAAGAGACTTTCTTCCAAGTCAGGGCTGGGCCGGGGCAGGTCTTGAGACTTCTCTTGCTAGGGACAGCTTGCATATACAGTATGTTTCCCATGGGAAAGGTAAAGGCAGTGAGGGGAGGCGGTGACTCTCAGTAGGAGAGAAAAAGCGAAAGCATCTTTTCAAACCGGCAGTGGATTTACAACTGCATTTTTTGCCTTTTTGCATTTTACAATGCAAGTGAAATTTCAGCCTAGCAGCCTCACTTCCCCCGTTACGTTGCAGGCCTCACAACTATAATTTGCAAAACCTACATGTCCTTTAGTAACTTAATCTAGTCAAGCAGTTTTTTTGTTTTTTAAACTGACTTGCTGGGTTCTCAAAGCAGCTTGCAGTAAACGCTCCAGCTTTACGAAGACAAATGCACAGCTATACGTTAAGAGATATAAAGCTATACATAAAGGAGGAAAAAAACAAACAAGCATGCTTAAGAGTACATGGTAGACTACAGACATCAGCAAGGAAATGGGGCAGTCAAGCATCCTTCCATTATGCCTGAGGTGAGAAGAGGCAGGTCTGTATACACATGCTTTTTTTGCTTATTTGTTGGTTAATTTGGCCTGTTCTCTTCCAATCCATTTAAATTTCTTAGAAGTATTTGCACTGGGAACAGCTGCTGTCAGTGACTTTAAGCCTATGTCAAAGCACAGGATGTAAATTCAAATAATAAGCATCTTCCTTAAATACATGTTGCTAATCGCCAAGGGCTGACCCTTTGTGTGGCTTAAAACCAGGGGTCATTTCGTAGAAAAAAAGGTGCAGGAGCTCATTAGCATAACTTATTTACATATGCCACATCCCCTGACATCACAGGAAGTGTGTCAGACGGCAACACCCACCGCTCAGGCTCCACTGGACTTTTTTGGATTCCTAGCTATTGGGGGGGGGGGGGGAAACGTGCAGATCTGTCCCTCACAGAGGAGGGAGAGCTTGTACCTGAATAAACCTTGGTCT